TTACTGGAATAAACTATTTAACTAGCACTGTGTATCTGTTTTACTGAGTGTAAGCTACAAAAACGTTTATCTCAAATATTTTGCCTGCCTGCCTGACTGCCGTGCAGATTCTGCTAGGGTGTATCCCTAACACTGGTTATGGGCCCAGCTGCACAGTCAGACCAACCAGGATATAACAGGCTTATATAAAGTGAGAGTTAGTGTAGTTACACAATATTGTAAACAGACAGCTGTGTTTTATTAATTATAGTTTAATATCCAGAGAAAGATGGCACAAGTCAATTTACCAAGTTTGTCTCTAATATCCAAACTGGATGGAACAAACTATGTTTCATGGTCTATGAAATGCAGCCTACTTCTACGCAGAGAAGGTTTGTGGAGTATAATTCAAAACCCACCAGAGGTAGATGCTTGGGATCCGGAGGATGAAGATGATGCCCAGAAAATACAAGAATATAAACTAAAGAATGAGCAAGCTCTCTGTATAATAGGACTGACACTCTGTGACCAGCAGCTTGTCCATATTCGTGGAGAAGAAACAGCTGCTAAGTGCTGGGAGAATTTAAAGAAGATTTATGTTCGAGACAGTGTAGGAGCACATATAAATCTTACACGGAAGCTGTTCAGAACACATCTTCAAAAGAATGGAGACATGTTGACTCATATAAACACTATGAAGAGGATTTTTCAGGAGCTGCATGAAAAAGAGCTTATCTTCACTGAACTACATCAGGTTTATATAATTTTGTTTTCATTAGATGAGAGCTATGACGACTATGTAACTTTGCTGGAAGTTCTGCCAAAAGATAACCTCACATTAACTGACATTACTGGCAGATTAATTGAAGAAGCCAGGAGAAGGCTTGAAAGGGATCAACTCAGAAGGGAACAACCACAAGAAGAGGAATTATCTTCGTCAGCCTACACAATTAGAAAATGTTTTAATTGTGGAAGAAAGGGACATTTGGCTAGATTCTGCAAGAAAGAAAAACGCCAAAATGTCAGCCAGAATGCAAAAGGGCATCAAAAGGATGAAAAATGCTTAGAGTTAGCCATGTATAGCAACAAAACTGTGAACAATAATAATTTTTGGGTGGTAGATAGTGGAGCATCGCACTGCATAACGAAAGATAAGAAAAGATTTATTAAGATGTCCACGAGTTCACAGCAGATATCGTTTGCTAATGGCTGGAAACTTAAAGCAAAAGCTGAAGGTACTGCATATTGTTCTTGCATACAAGAAAATGTAAAAATGTTATATGTACCACAACTTAAGTTTAATTTGCTTTCAGTTAGAGTTTTGATTAAACTAGGTTATGTAGTTACCTTTAGGGGAGAAAACTGCATAATAGAAAAGGAAGGTAAAAAAGTGACTGCAACTTTAAAAGGTGAATTGTATGTGTTAAATGATAATCAATTAGAGTGGCTAACACAGTGTATAATAACGTTAAACCTCATGATGAATGCATACATTTGTTACACAGACGTTTAGGGCATATAAATTTTAAAATGCTCAAGCAAACGGTTGAACTGTCTAAAGGTATAAAACTGAAGCCTTGCAGTAAGTATTTGCACTGCAATGCTTGCAGTCAAGAAAAAGGCAAGGTAATACCAGCAAATAGAATTAATGGATTTAAAACTAAGGAGCCTCTAGAGGTCGTATTTGCTGATATTATAGGTCCTAAAAAACCAAGTGTGGGAGGTGCTCGTTATATATTAAGTATAATGGATCATTATTCTAGATATGGTTTCTGTTATTTAATGAAGAATAAAACGGAAACATATCAGAATTTCTTTAATTGGTTGAAGTTTGCAGAAAGAAAAACTAAAAGGAAACTAGTAACTCTTGTAACTGATAATGGTACGGAATTTGTAAATAATAAATTCCAAAATAGATTGAAGATGGCAGGTGTAGAACATAAAAAGTCTGCACCATATAGGCCACAACATAATTCCTTTATAGAAAGACGAGGCCAAACACTACAGGCAATGACTCGTACTATGTTGTCGGATTCAGGATTACCTGAAAATTTGTGGGGAGAAGCAATAATGTGTGGTAATCATATATTGAATAATGTTGTTAACTCAACAACAGGTGAATTACCATGCACCCGGTGGCATGGTAGAAAACCTGACCTAAGCTACATGCATACATTTGGAGCACCAGCATGGGTGCATATTCCTACACAACTGAGACATAAGGGGCAGCATAGGGCTAAAAGATTATTTTTTGTAGGTTACGAATCTAACCACAAATCTTACAGGTTCTGGGAAGAAGGTACATCTAGAGCACAATTCCTTGAACATGTAGGATGGGAAAAACTGGAACAAGATTCGAATAAAGATGTAATCATAGAAACCTACAAAAGATCAAACCAACATATCAGTAATAAGAAGAATCCAATTAAGGAGGAAGTGCAGGAAGAGCAAATAGGACCAGAACAGGAAGAAATAAGTGAACAAGAAGAAATAGATAACCAGGAACAGGTAATACATGACAGTCCACCTGTAAGCCCTGTAATACCTAGATGTTCAACACGTGAAACCAGACCACCTGACAGGTACCAAGCAAGTGTAGTTTGCCAAGTTAGTAAAGTTCCAACTACTGTGGAAGAACTTAGAATGTATCCTGCAAAGGATCAAGAAAATTGGCATAGAGCAATGGAAAAGCATTGATTGGTTGGAGGTCAATTAGACAGCAACACATAAGTATGTCCACAATGGAAGCAGAATTTTCCTGTCTATCTTTATATGTACTGATTTAATTCTGTATAAACAGTTATTATTAGATATGGGATTAACTGTTAAAGATTCCACTGTAGTGTATGAGGACAATCAAGCAGCCATACGGATGGCTACAAATATTGCTGTGAAAACGAGATCTAAGCATACAGATCTTAGATATCTGAATGTAAGGCAATCTGTAATGGATGATTTAATAAGATTGGAATATTGTATGACTGAACAAAATATTGCTGATCAGTTTACAAAAGCCCAAGGTGCAGTAAAACACAAAGAAAATTGTGATGACTATGGGTTGAGGTTGTAAATAGATATATATATATTATTATATTACCCAAAAGGGGAGAATCTTAGGAATAACATAGGTTACCTAACGTAGTTTGGGTAAAATAATATATATAAACTATGATAGTAAGTTTAAGTGTGTGTCACTTTAAACTGCAAAGCATATAATTTTGGGTGCGGTGTTGAACTGCCATAAGAGGAAGCAAGAGAACCTGACGATTCCCTGACGATTACTGGTTTGATGAATTGATGGTTTGTTAACTGCGTGTTTTCCCTGCTGCTGAGTTGCTGAAGGAAGAGAGGAGTTTTGACGTCTTCATATCTCTACTGCGAGGAGATATATTACTGGACTGATATTTGTAAGTTTACTGACCTCTTTTTCGACACTGGAATTTGCAACTGAATAATCCCCGGATGGACTGAACTAGTGAATGATATATGAACTGTTTGACTATGCTATAACTCTTACTGGAATAAACTATTTAACTAGCACTGTGTATCTGTTTTACTGAGTGTAAGCTACAAAAACGTTTATCTCACATATTTTGCCTGCCTGCCTGACTGCCGTGCAGATTCTGCTAGGATGTATCCCTAACAACCCTATCCCATTTCAGACAAGTGGTTGTCCTGTCTCTTCTTAAAAATCTTCAGTGTTGGAGCACCCGCAACTTCTGGAAGCAAGAGTGTATAGGGAAAAATCATCACATCAGCCATGAAACATTAAATTGGAAAAATCAGTTGTAAAAACACTAAGGCTCTGGATATTCTGGGTAAACCTGAATAAAATGATAGAGCACTTTTTGCTTGGACAGAAACTTGGAAAATATTAGGCAATTTTAATGAATAACCAAAAAAAAAGTCTCATAGAAAATTCTTCAAATACACACTTCTTCTGAATTATTTTCAAATCATGCAATGCCCTAAAAATATATCAAGAAAGGTGTGTTCAAGATGCACTGTTAGAAGATGCTGTACATGCCTGCATTTCCATACAGAAAATTTTAAATTATTTGCAAGCTGATTCCAAAAAGGACAGATCATATTCGAAGAACTGTATGGTTGGGACTGGAGAGAACTATATAAAATTTGCTCATAAGAATCTAAAACTGTAAACCAGAAATGCATGAAAAAACATGGAGAGAAAATATGAGGTATCACTAGATGAAATAAGAGGAAGGAACACTCAGAAAACCATGGCATTGAAAATAGCAGAAAAACAAAGACTTCTGAATTATCATTAATATTCTATATTTCGTTCATGGAAGGAATTCTGAAGTTTTCCACAATCCCTCATTCTAGGTTATAGGAACAGGGACATTCTTTATTGGCATATACTCTCAGTGTACATAGATTGACTAGATTGACATAGACTAGATTAAAACATACTAGAGACATTTTCATATTACCAAGAAAGCCCCATTGATTGGACTAATGAACTCAACTTCAAAGAGGCGTTGAGGTGTTTTTTCAAGAGGCAACTGGACTTTCTGGTTATTCTTTGAAACTGCTCTGAAAGAGGGTTAAAGAGGCTTTCTATGTCAAAATTGAACAGCTTTCTCTCAACAGAGGGAGGGATATGACATCATCTATCTCCAATCTATAACACAGTCCTTACAACAGTTCCAAGAAGGCTCCACACCAATTTGCACCACTCAAGTGACACAGGTAAACCTCCAAGTGACCTTAATGGCCCGCTAAATGAATGCAAATGACCAGCTGTCTGCAACGAATATAAATCCTTCGATTTCCCTCCATCCAGTCAGAGCTGAAGAAGTTTCTTGGGTGAGAAGCAAAACATATTCAAAGAAAAACCAGAAAGTCCAGTTGCTTCTTGAAAAAGCACTTTTTGGACAACCATGACCTGGATGACTGAGAATCTCCATAGAAATCCATTTTAATTACATGTCATGAAAAGTATAATGTATTAGAAGATATGGGTTGAGCAGAGTAATAGACAGCTTCTAGTTACTTACATGTCTAATGTCATGCAATCCAATCCACACATTGCTGGGTTTAATCTGGTAGGACATGATGTGATTAGCCACTACTAGAGTCTCTGCAAGAGTGAGAATAGATGCCAAATGGGCCCCACGGTGGTAACTCTGGCACTCAATCTGGACAACACAAGAGGGGGGGAAAGCTTTGAATGATACTGCCTTTTTCTTCTGTATCTGGCTAGTCAGTGACATGGGCAGGATCAATGCAACATGAACAAGAGTCATAAAGTGACACCAAAACTCCATGGCATTATGATGTTTTGATTCCAATATCTCTCCTGGGCTGGAAGACAATGCCATCCTGCTTCAGACTAAGCTATTGAGTTTATCCAGCCCTTTCTACTTTCTGCATGATGAAAAATGTCTCCCACCCCCCAGTCTAAAGTTTCATATATTCGGAATAGTCATATCTGGTGCAGGACCAGATTAACATTAGGCATTTTAGATAACTGCCTGAAGTGAAGCTATTGGAAGATAAAGTTCTCTGGATTTTCTCTTGAACAGTTTCCATCCTATTGAGTTAGTATTAGGCACAAGTAACCAGGATCAGAGTCAAGTTCAAAGCACTATAAATTTATTACATGTTACATATACAATAATCTGATCTACTAATGGTAAAGCAAATTAATGCTAGATAAGAGTCAATGGAATTCATAGGAGGGCTGGCGTCGAGTCTCTTGTGACTCTGTTAGGATTCCAAACTGATGACATATTTGACCCCATCTTCAGGTCATCTTCTACATCTAGCCTTCCAAGCAAAATAAGGTTTATTTATGATTAGCCTCAACATTTTCCTGCATCTTGCAATGTTTTTATGTTGTAAGCTGCTTAGAATTGTTGGATACAAGATAGGAGGCAAATAAATTTTATAAATAAATAAAATTCCCACAGTTGTCTGATTCTGAATGTGGAGGAAGATGTAGTTTTGTGAAACTATTGTCCAATTGTCTGCCTGGTTAGCTTCCATATAGAGAAACAAGGGGAAGGCATCAGATAGCAAAAAGATGATTGAGACCAGCCCAGGAGAGATAGTCTAAATGCAAGATCTCATATTCAGAACTTCCTCTTACCTCAGCTTCTGTCCATGTCTTCTTGGCCTCAAAATATCCATAACAATTGCCCTGGTACTGTAGCCACTCTCTGGCACAGGTGTCAGCACTAACTATATGGGTGGGATATAGATAAATAGGAAGGACAGGAAGTGGAATCAGAAGAGGAATAAGCTGTTACATATCTATCTACTTGTTTGTCTTATTTATTCAGGCTGTTGGCTAATCTAGATATACAGGCTCTATAATAGTGTTTATCAACCTTGACACTTTAAGACTTCAACTCCCATAATTCCTCAGCCAGCTTAGAGGAGCTACTACATAAAACATAAATCAGAAAACATGTTCTTTTGTAAGTGTGCACAAAGTTGTATTTTAGTCATGTGTTCTTAGTTAGGAAGCGTTTATTCATATTTTGCAAACTCAAATAAGGAAACCCTCCAAAATTTAAACCAGCTCTACCATGGATATATAGTACTGTATAAGTGAGTATCTTACTACAAATTGAAGTTTCACTTTAAGAGGAATAATGTATTTATTCAAATGAAATAAATTTGGCTAATACATTTCTACAGCTTCGTTTGCTCTAATATGAAAAATGCCATACCCTGATCGATGTTATAGGTTTGGGAATGAAGGAGGCAGTGCTACATAAAATAATATATAATAACTCACCTCCAAAGAAAGAGCAGGAAAGCAAAAAGCTGACCAGGAAAGCACTCGGATAAATAATCAATCCCATTTTCTATGTTCACCTGAAAATACCAGAGTGATACAGCCAAATTAACAGCAGGACCTTATTAGGAACATCCATGCACAAATTCAAACTTGCTCTGTATTTGCAATTTTCAAGATTCAATATTGCGTAATATTTTGCATTGATAGGTTTTCAGCCAAGTAAATTAATTTGTATATACAACTCAGTGTTACGTTAAACTGTGGTTTATTTGAATTGATGGTAAAGACCTCGAGTCTAGTTTATATTAGAGACAAAATCATGAATCTTGTAACCATAACCATTCCAGGTCTCTGTGGTGGCAGAAATCACCACAATTTCTTAGCACATTGTTATTTTTTAAGATAAGAGGAGAACATAATTAAACATATGAAGGAACAATAATCATTAAGTAGCCTTACATAAATATATTTGACACCCCCAAATCAATTCAGATATTTTTGAAACACTGAACGCATTTGTCAGATTGAATGGGCCTAAATAGGTCCAAATTAATTTACGTAATGTGGATATTGCACATGTGATTTAATGCTCCAAATCACATTCAGAACTTCAAATTAGATGGATTTTTTCATCAGACTGAACATATGGATAGGATGGGATTCAGTTTGCATGTTTAAATTTTAACTATATTTAATTTCTAGTAAATTAAAATAGAAAATGTATTCATTTTCTCCTTCAAGTTTGACCTACCACTTTTAAAAAGCTTTTGTCCAAGCCTATACATACACAAAAAAATATTTGTCCACCCTTACGTAAACTATGATTTACAAAGAGACCAGGTGCCTACATTATGTAAAGTCAGAACTAAACAAAATGCATTGTCACATAACATAATTGTGAACCTAGCTCATATTCATCTCTTAAGTTGGTAGACTTTGTTTTCAAGTTGCTCAATCCTAGGGAAATTTCCAGCATTATCTCTAACTTAAAATTTTACAAGTTGGTCACAGTTAACATTGTATTTAACCCAACTGACATTGGTGGGGGTTTTTTACATTTGCCACCCTGCAAACAAACACTGAACATGTTGCCCTCAAGTATGTAGCATCTCAAAGGTACAATTCCCCAAACCAGAGACTCTTCCACCCAGTAAAATAAGCTGGGTCTCAACAAAGGAGATAATTGAAACCAAATATTATAAAATAAAGTAGTTAACCTCAGAAAAATCATTACCCTTCCTTCAAAGCCAGACATCTTTTATGAGCATTAATTTTCTTAATTAAGGTGTTAGATTTCTGTCTACCCATGATTTGGAATTTTTCCCTTTTTTTTTAAAGAGCTCCTTCAGTAAATCTGAATTTCTGATGAGAGATCACCATCACCACTACCACCATAATGTTTATGATTGTTGTTGCTACTCCTGAGAAAAATCTTCTTAATGTTAAGCTTTTTGTCAGTTAGAAGGCCTCCTGAATGGTGCAAATGAACAAAATCAGTGCTTTAAAAGTGGTATATAATCTGGTAGTCCTTGAGTTACAATGGCAATTGGGACTGGGATTGATACCACTAAGTGATGCAATCATAAAGAGTGATGTCATTGACTTCAATGACTTAGCTACAGCAATCCAAACAGTTCTGGTCATCTTGTAATTGCAAGATGTGCAGGCCCTTATGTAGGAAGCAAAAGGAGTCCCATGTAAGGAATGCAGGAATGTCACATGGGGGAGACCTAGCGCTGGCCACATGTGGAGGAGTTGCTATGCTGAGATAAGATCAGCACAAGCTCAGAAAGGCTAGGGAAGGGAGGTAATGATGGGTAGATGCATGTGCATGAGCTTTGGAAGACTAGGCAAGGAAGGCTTGCCTAAAAAGAAATCAGAGAACAGCAACAAATATGATTAGGAGACTGGAGGCTAAAACATATAAAGAATAGTTGCAGAAATTGGACATGTCTAGCTTAATGAAAAGAAGGACTGGGGTGATATGATAGCAGTGTTCCAATATCTAAGAGGTTGCCACAAAGAAGATGGAATCAACCGATTCTCCAAAGCACCTGAAAGCAAGACAAGAAACAATAGATGGAAACTAATGAAGGAGAGAACGAACTCAGAAATTTCCTGACAGTGAGAATAATTAATCAGTGGAACGATTTGTCTCCAGAAGTTGTAAGTGCTCCAACATTGGAGGTTTTGAAGAAGAGAATGGACAACGGTTTGTCTGAAATAGTTTAGGGCTCCCTGCTTGAGCAGGAGGTTGGATTGGAAGATCTCCAAGATCCCTTCCAACTCTTTTATTCTATTAAGGCTCTTATGTGTGCAAGTGCAGGTAGGCTAGGGAAAGAGAGCACAGAATGTGAACAAGAACAAAGGGAGAAAGGAGAGTGTGGTACGTGCAAGCAGGCAAAAGGGTGGAAGAAGGGTGGACTGTGCAAGCGAGCAAAAAAAAGCAGGGGGGAAGACTTACCAAAATGGCTTGCAACCTTTTCTGCCAGCTTCCTACTGACATTGTATGAGGGAAACTGATGGGAATGGTCACAAATGGCAATCACAGGCCATTCACCAGTCATAAGTAGAAACTGGTTGCCAGGTGATCAAATTCTGCTCATGTGATCTCAAGGCATTGCTGGAATTTTGAGGAGCAGATCTAAGTCCCTTTGGTCAGCATCATCATAATTTCCAATGGCCACTGAAGAAATATTCATAAGTTGAGCACTTCCTACAAACCATCCTTAAATGGCAACAAGAATCCTATAGAGAAAAAAAGCAGGTAATTTAGGTCCTCACCTGAGTCTTCCACAAGAAATTATGTTGTGGTTTCCTGCTGAAGGTGATCTTAGAGGTTTTGTTCTCCACAGGTGTCTGTTATATAGATGTCAAGAAGATCTATGATGAAATAACAAGGGTAACAGGTTTCAGGAAATGCCTGGATGTACTACCATTGCAAACCAGGATGTCCAGTTACTAAATCCTATAACAAGCCCCAAGGTGAATGTCTCTGTCACAGGTGACTCAGAAGTGGCCTCTACAATTTTCAGACAGAAAACTTCCTCTCTGGAGGAATTCAATTACCTTAGATTGAACTTATCTACCATGAAAGATACATTGTAGGAGGTGGTCCACATTTATTAATGGTCACCCAACCTTTTCTTAGATGGACAAAGCAAACTTTGTCATTAGCAGAGCAACCAGATATTTTGAACTGAAGAAGCTTCTTGGATGAGAAGTGAAACATCTTCAAAGAAAAACCTGAAAGGTAAAAAAAATTACCCAAGCCATAGAAACAATATATTGTATACAAACTGCAAAGGTTATGATAAATGGAGAGTTAACAGACTTTATAGATATAAGAAAAGGGACCAGACAAGGCTGTCCACTGTCGCCTCTGTTTGTGGTAACACTGGAAGTGCTGAATAGGAACATCAGAGAAGAAAAAGAAATGAAAGGAATGAAAATTAAAAAAGAAGAGTACAAATTGCAAGCCTTTGCAGATCCATTGGAGTTAGCACCTAAGCTAATAGAAAAGATAGCAGAGTATGGGAAAGTAGCAGGTTTGAAAATAAACAAAGACAAAACAAAGATATTAACAAAGAACTTATTAGCAAGACGAAAGAAAGAATTGGAGGAAGTTTTGGGGATCCAGGTCACAAATAAGGTTAAGTATTTAGGGATACACATAACACCAAGATGTAACACACTCAAGGAGGACAATTATCTTAAACTCAAACAACAGATTGCGACAGATTTGATAAAATGGAAAAAATTACAATTATCATTGATTGGGAGAATATCTACACTTAAGATGAATGTATTGCCTAGAATCTTATATTTATTCCAGACAATTCCAATTAGATTAGGAAAAGAATTTTTTGAAGATCTAAATAAAATAGTACTAAAATACATTTGGCAGGGGAAGAAAGTGGAAATAAAACTCAAACTGTTACAAGATGCAAGAATAAGAAGAGGATTCACTTTGCCCAGTTGCGAATCATATTACCAGGCAATGAGTTTGATGTGGGTAAAGGAATGGATAATACTAAGGAATACTAGACTTTTAAATTTAGAAGGACATGACTTGCTGTTAGGGTGGCATACCTTCCTCTGGTATAAGGGAACTAAAACACAGGGGTATTTTAGAAGATATTGTATTCGAGCAGCATTGTTTTTAAACTGGGAGAAGATAAAAAAGCAATATTATTTAAAAATTCCACTATGGTTATCTACTATTGAAGCTTTTTCCTACCCAATAATATATAAAAAGGAACAAACAGTTAGATACGGTGAGATATTGAATGAAAAGGGTGAACTTAAATCTATGCAAGCGTTGGAAGAATAAGGTGTAAAAATGAATTGGTTTTCATATTTGCAAATACAATCTAGATTTGATAAAGATATTAAAACAGAAGGTATCTATGATAAGTTGACTGATTTAGATAAAATTTTGACAGGTACTGATGAAAAAGTAATTTAAAAACTTTATGGACATTTGTTGGAGTTTAAATTAGAGGAAGAACAAGTAAAAGAAACAATGATTGTTTGGGGGGAAAATGGATATAGGATTGACCTAGATAAATGGCAAAAATTGTGGTCTCAAAATTATAAAATGACAATGTCAACTGCATATAAGGAAAATTTGTATGAGATGTTTTACAGGTGGCACTTACCCCCACGAGAATTGTGAGAATGTTCAAGAATAAATTGGATAAGTGTTGGAAATATCATCAGACACCTGGTTCATATTACCATATGTGGTGGACATGCTCGGATGCCAAAAGATACGGGACTATAATCCACACATGGCTAGAAAAAATGATAAAACAACACATAGACTTTAAACCTGAGTTATTTTTATTGGGAATTATACCAGAAATATACAGTAAAGAATTGAAATATTTGATTGTAAATGTTTTAACAGCAGCTAGAATTGTATTTTCTAAGAATAGGAAAAATGAAAAAATACCTATGCAGGAGGAAATTATTAAGAAAATCATGGATTGTGCTGAAATTAGTAAATTGACATTTGAAATCAGAGAACAAGAAGATAAACAATTTTATATGATATGGGAT